CACTTGTCTCCATTACGAGCGGTCCAGGTTTGAGCCCTGGCCAGGGTTATTGTGTTGTGTTCTTGGGCAAGACACAAGTTTTACCCTCACATTACCTCTTTCCACCCATGTGTACAATTGGGTACCAGCGAATTTAATGCTGGGGGTAACCCTGTGATGGACTAGCATCCTATCCAGGGAGAGTGGAAATACTCCTAGTCGCTTCATTCTAGAGAATCCAGAAAAAGCTCTGGACTGATGGGCCACTTGGCTTGCACCTATTAAGTAGGTGATAAGTGATAGTGAACGTACAAAACATATCCTGTGTGAAGCGCACCAGGTTGCTGCAAACATTGAAAGAGAATGTCATGTCTCAACTGCACAGTAAGCTCAAAGGTTGTACAGGGGTGTATGTAGGTTTGAATGCCGTTGGAGCGTGATTTTTTTCAAGCTTTCTTTCTACTTGCTGTTGAACAATTATGGAATCATCTCATTCAGGTTTTGTTTTCTCTACCACAATTTACATGACTTGTATGGGTCAGAATAATTATTAAGTCTATGTACATTTCATAAACTACTCATCACTGGCTTAGTGAACAAGACTTCAAAATAACATTCTTGTTGCTTGTCTTTCAGGCTAGTTTAAGAACATCAGATCTGACGTGGGAGAAGGTTAGAACACAAGTAGATCACATCATCTGGCCAGATGGCAAGAGAATTGTGCTGTTAGCAGAGGTACTACATAAAATATCACATTCCCTCTTTCTTAGCTTTGCAATTTTCAAGAAAGGTTACCTGATACTGTGATTTTGTTTAATGTTTTAGGGTCGCCTTGTCAATCTCAGCTGTTCTAGTGTTCCTTCTTTTGTAGTTTCCATTACGTCAACAACTCAGGTACAAATAACTAGTGTTTATACCTCTTTAAGGCACAAGTGAAGAAAGGGGGGGAAATAAACATTAAACCCCATGTGGGGTGAAAATGTGTAACCTGGATGTCTTTCTGCAGACATTGTCTGAACATTCTCAGAAGCAAACAATTCTCCAAGAGTGAAGCTTGAAACCAAACTGAAAATAAGAAGTTATTAATAATTAAATATTAAGTCTTTGTCTTTAGTTAGAGCACTTTTCCGTTGGTTGTCGTAAAACAAAAACCAAAGTAATCACTCTAGCCAGTCACAAAGGATGCAGGCAATCCAATGAACCAATGAAAACTCAAAGTAATTACACATTGCGACGCAAAGTGCAGGAAAATGTGTACAAACAAACCACGATTGGTTTTAGTTCTACTTTGATTGGATGAAGTTTTTTTAAGTCAATCATGTAGTGGAGTAAGTGTAGTTAACCACTTACTTTTCGACACTCAAATGAAAACCCACTCTATGGTTAAAAGCCATAATAGTTAATGATTCTAAAAACAATAAGTGAATAAAATAATCGAAATTAGCCAAATGTGTTTCCCTGGCAGGCTATAGCTTTAATTGAACTTTACAAGGCCCCACCAGGGAGATATAAACATGATGTCTACCTTCTGCCAAAGAAGATGGGTGAGTAGTTAACAATGTTCTGCCCGATAGTCAATGTAATTGTATTATTTATAATGAACTGATGAGTAGCAACTTATACAGGTCACTGGCTTGACATGTGTAAAAGGAGATCATTTTCTAATGAGTCTTTCTGCAAAGTGTTATATTTGGTTTGAAGTATCCATCTAAATGCTTAAAGGGCCCGGGTGTGCCACACCTTTGTTTTTGTTTGCATGCAAGAGTTTTGGCTATTATGTTTTATTAGGAACATGTTCAAGTGAATGAAATCAGTGTGAAACTAAAAGATAATTAAAGAAACTTTCAGGAACACAACTAAAGCAAGAAGATTTTGCTTCACCATGCAATATCAATAATTTTGATGGCATCAAAAATGGTGGAGGCTGACTAGAGCTCTTTACTTCTGCAAAAAGAGAGAAACTTTGTGCCTGTGTAATTTGTTCAAATGGTGTGATGTCAATGCTTGTTTATTGATCTTTGTTTCATTGATGATTGCATTTCTAGAAATGTCATTTGCGCAAATACTGTGACGTCAATCAACATTTATTCATTGATCTCCATTTCATTGATGATTGCATTTCAGATGAATATGTAGCAATGTTGCACTTGCCAACATTTGATGGCCATTTGACTGACCTCACAGAAGAACAAGCTAAGTATCTTGGAGTGAACAAAAATGGACCATTCAAGCCGAATTACTACAGGTACTCTTTGGACCGATTATTGTTAGTTTTAGCTTCAATTTGTCATAACTACTTATTTTTTGAGAGGGAAGGTAAGGGGAGGCTACTTATTTATATGGTCTACACCTATAATGGTGTATTTAAAAAAAACTGTAATCGAAACAAAGTAGAAAAAAGTTGAAAAATCTATTGAAACTTCATAGTATGAGAACACAAAGCAGACTTTTTCCTGAGTTCTCTGTAATTTTGCTGTTGTCTTATCATCTCGCTGTGGGAGGCACAGCATCCTAATGGTAAGCCAGACTCTGGTTTTAGCCAGCTTGTTTCTAGCCCTGGCTGGAGTCACAGAGTTACAGTGTTGTGGTTCTGGGCAGGACTCTTTAACTCTCACTGCTAGTACCTCTCTCCACCCATGTACATGTACAACTGGGTATCCGCAAACTTAGTGCTGGGGGTAATGCTGCAATGGAGTAGCAACCCACTCAGAAGCAAGTAGGAATTTCTAGTTTATTAATGAATGCTGCAGAAAACGAAAATAAGCACTGGCCTAAGTTATTAACCAGTGGGCTTAAACACAGACATAACGTGAACCATCTTGTTCTTGTTTTTTACCCAGATACTAATGGCGAGGGACTGGACTTCTCTGTAGCCATGGATAAATGCTTGTAAATTCTGTGAACATTTTTAAAAATTGCTATTTATGAAATAAAGCAGTATTTTGCCACATCTGGCCTAACCGCAACCTCGCTGGACCTTCCAATGCACCTCCTAATAAATGTCACGCAAGACAACATACTGTAGTTCATACTGTCATTAGAGTAACCTACAGTACTCTAGTTAGAATTACTGTTGTACTATTTTCTTTATCTGTAAGAAAAGACCAAAAAAAAAAAAAAAAAAAAAAANCTTGCTGCATTCAACTCCAAAAGTGGTTACTTGTTCTGTCATGTAGGGACAAACATCAATCACTATTTATCACATCACTAGAAACATGTAAATGGTAAATTATATTTTTTTCACACTTTCATGTTTCCCAGCATGAGCTATGTGGCTCAATACCATAGTCAGGGTAATGTTAAGGAGAACAGCTCCCAGATATATCAAGCTTGTCAGTAATAAAATATTATTAATTTTGTTTGGCTATAAATACTTTGCCAATGTGTGCGTGATTATGCTTACACAAATTCCTAAAGGGCTATATTTTTAATTGATAATAATGATAAATATTATTGGCACTAACAGCCACTAACCATGACAAATCTGCCATTCTACTGTTGATAAGGCACAATTTCTGCTGCTCTCTCGAGTCCAATCTATGTTCCTCCCCGAGAAGAGAGGAGAACACAGCTTCCTCTACTGAACAATGGCTGGTAGTCAAGCCTAACTGTTGACTGAGTGACAGTGTGGGGATTTTGTACTCGTTCGACAGTTAGCAGTTGGTTGACAGATTACTGACAAGCAAAACTGGGAAGAGCGAGTTTTAGCAGTAGAATTATTATTTTCCTATTGTTCAAGAGGTCTGATTATTCAATCTACAATTCCATGCTGATAATGCAACTCCACAGCGATCAGTGAAGTTTTCGTACCAGTTGTTTGGTTTTGAGTTTCCCACTTAATGTAATTAGCAACCGATAGAGGTAATGCTGATTTTTGCAGAGCTGCTTTGTTAGTATGGATTTGGTTTTTGGTTTAATCAAAAAGCAACCCTCAAGTAAAAAAGAAATGGGCATGTGAAAAGTGGGAACTGTTTTTCACATTCAATAACCAGAAGTACAATGTATTAATAACTTTATAATGATTAATAAGACTATGTATTAGGCAGTAGTGAATTTTATTGCAGGTTTCCAAAGTAAATGCGTAGCATTCTTGTGATGTCATTCATGATAATTAAATAAATGGAAAAAACTGCTGCTTATAAAGTCAATCAAAACAATGAAATTTGTTACTTTTCTCATGTTAGGAAGACAAACCTTATAGATATTTAACATACTTGTGCTGTCATCAAGTTCTTTTTGTAACTGCATACTGTTTACTTTTTTGTTGTTGTATGATAATGTTGTAAGCATGTTGATGACAACAGAAGTGACCCTTGAATGAATAAAATTGTGCTAAGGATCTATTGTGTTGAAGGGCTGTTCACTTCATGTTAAAACTTATTACAGATTGCACAATAACTTATGATGTTACAGACCATAACAACTACTGGGCATGGTTGAGAAAGATTTGATTACTTTGTCAGTTGTAAGCAATCATTTAGAGATACTAAGGATAATTTTTAATTGTCTTAACAACTGTGCTTCTCGTAGCTTTAAGTAAGTTTTGACTACTGAAAAATTGTGCAGTGCAAAGCTGCATATTCTACCTTGGTTGGGCCTCACAATTTCACACTGGTGAACACAATACAATTTACTTCTGGCCATAGTTGCTCTGCACTTTAGGCAAAACTTCTGGTTCTGATGACTTTCCAGCCCCCATTTACCCACCTTCCAACTGGCAAAACTTTTCCCAACATCTCTTAGTTCCAATGACTTTCCACCCTTTCTTTTCCCACCTCCCAACAAAGAGTTTGCAGCACCCTTTGTTCTTAAATTCTTCCTCTTGAACCTCATATATCAGAGCAGGTCTCCCAAACAATCAAAAGGAAGTTTAAATAAATTATAATGAATGATTGTTAATGTACTGGGTAGCCATTGTTCTTACTGGGGTCTGGGGTACTCCATCTCTTATTGTAAAGTAACTGAAATACTACACACACATTTTTCGATAGGTTGTGGCATTTCATTAACACATTCTTGAGAAATATTTTGTAGAAGC